AAAACCCCGTGGCCCGGGGTTCCCCCCCCCCCCCCCACTAACCTGGTGGGTCCATGAAGTCAAAGTGCACCAGGTCATCAATACCCAGCTTCTTCAGCTGCAGCACCACGGAGGCCAGGTTGGACCTCAGGATCTCTGGATACGTGTTGTCCTGTGCCAGGTAAGACAAACCCAAAGTACAACTCAGAATGTACTCATCTGGGTGATTATTATCTCCTCATGCACCACTCATATGTCAACTGGCTAGGACTTCTGAAGGGCTGTTTAACGTGTTTAAACACAGAGTTGGTCTGTTACAATGGAGAGCCGGGCGTCCGCTAATTCATTTGTCACAAAGAAGGTGGTAATGAAATTAGCACAGGTTATGAGGAAGAGTGGAAGCACTGTGGTTTAGCACCAAGCCCGTTATAATTCAGATGAACTGGGAATTATAGAGCTGTGAGCATTGAAGAAGTTGGGACACGACAATCACCTGTTTACACATTCTCTCACTGCCTTGCTTCTTACCTGCATTTCTGTCTTGTAAGCTTTTTCTGTGTAGAGGCGGAAACACTTTCCAGGGCGTGTCCGTCCAGCGCGGCCTGCCCTCTGCTGGGCCGAGGCCTTGCTGATGGCTGTCACCAAAAGTGATTCCACTCGAATACGTGGATTATACACCTGATTGGAAAAGTGAAAGGCAAGTTGCATTCTGGGTGGATTTAAAATAAAAACAAAGTAGTTCAACACAAACACACGAGTGAATACATAATCTTTTCTGAGCCATGTGTACGACTCTGCTCCAGGCTGGTGAAATGTCAGAGGAATAAATAACTGGCTTCTCCATCTTTGCTGCTGTCAGGTGTGCACGGCTGTGTTTATCGGGGGATTCTCTGGCAACAGACGCAGATGACTGCAGCTGATAAAGGGTGGTGGAGAAAAGGAGCAAACTAACCTTTTGCTTGGCAAATCCAGGATCAATTACAAACACCACGCCGTCGATGGTGAGAGATGTCTCGGCGATGTTTGTTGACACGACGACCTGTTGGAAATAAGAACATTGGTAATAGGCTACAAAATGATCTACCTACACTAGGGAGTTTGGAGAGACTGACCAGACCTCAGACCTCTACTTCAAAACATTTTTCCATGATGGTCATCAGCTGGTTAGCAGAATCATTCCAGCAGGTGAGCATATAAAAACACAGAGAACTGAAAAACTTCCAGGGATTTCATTTGGTTAAATATTATAATTCAAATATTCAAGAGTGCTCTGCACAATCAAACCATGGAGTGCTTTCCTGCAGTAGAGCAGCTCAGAAATCATACTGCTCCTTAGGCATGAGTACAACAAATGAGCGCAGACATCAGCTTTGTTTTAACTTGAAAACTACTCCCTGATGTGAGTCAGCTGAATGAAGAAGCTTGTAGAGACGCCTCCATGGTGCTCTGTACGCACCATGTCTAATGCAGCCCATGGGGGAGTACTACAGCAGATTCTGCAATCACGTTCAATGTACTATAATGTATTTGTGGAGGCAGCTGGCTAGGTGATCCTTGTCCCATCAAAATGCATTACCTTTGGCTTTTGTGTGTGTGTGTGTGTGGTGGGTGGGCGTGTGGGTGCAGGTTCTGACTGTCCTCAGCATGTTGCTCGTTTTGCAGAGATGTCAGTTTCACCCTCTCTTGAAAAGCTGTTCCCAAAGTTTCTCCAAATCACAGGAAGTACTTGTTAGAATGGTTCCTCTTAGGTGGCCTGCTTTTTAAACACACTGGGAGCTCAACAATGGTTACAGCTTTCACCCAGGCTTCCTTTCTCTCCCAAATGAGGGCTGCTGTAGATCTCTCACGTGAACCCAGCACGTCTCTCCAAATGTGGAACGCTGCTGTCTGTGGACATGCCAGCTGTGCATGGCTCATTGTCGCTGATTGGCTCTTGGTGTGTGCTATGCAATGCTGGCTCTGTCAAAGCTGTGCTTCAAACACCACTGGAGGTGAACAGCACTGCAAGAGTTTGCATTAACTTTAGTTTGAAACATTTTAAAAGTCACTGCCCCGACTACTGGAAAAATACTGTAGTATTTCCTTTGCAGACCTGCTATTATTAGCAGAGGATCTTTTGAGACTGGACAGCAGTTTACTCCCAGTACTAAACATCACAAAAGCCAAAAAGACAACCTTTATTCCAGCATGCGCTACTGAAATATTATGACAACTGCACACCCACTCAGATAAAACATGGGAGCAGAGCAGAGCAGGTTCACCCCAAGTTTCAGGTGGGAGTAACCACCAAATCTAAAGCTGCATTTCTACCTGAAACAAAAACTTTACTGGAGTCCTGCTGTTACAGTTCAATCAAGTGTAGGCATCTATCTTTATAGTTCAGTGCTGGGTTTCACATATTTATACCACCACATCATTAGATGGATGTATAATATGTGATCAGGCCGTACTGAACTCTTATTATCCCGCCCCACTGTAACTATGTCTACGTTCATTTATTCACTTTGTGACACAGTGGGGGCTATGCATCTGCTTATAAAGCTGAAGATACAGTCAAGGTATTTCACTTTGCCTTCTAAAGAACAATTCATGCTTTCTGCGTCCACGTGTGTGCTGTGGTCCAGTGACATAAATGTCATCATCTTCCCGGGTCCGTGACAGTCAAGGCAGACCTCTGTTTGGACGTCTGCATGCAGGCCAGAAATTTGTATCTGAGCTGACTGTGTGTGTGTTTAAGTACAAACAGGACACACCCCATGTCCATCCATGTCTGGAAGGGAGCATGCTGAAAGCGTGAATCAGCCCTTCCTGAATAAGAGGATACTGAAAATACCCCTACATGCTGGTATAAAAAGGAGCAATTGAGATGAGCAGTGGAGATGGCTTTACTAGATGTGGGATGCTGCAAAAGAAACGACTGCAGAGTCTGTCTTCAACACACAACAATGCAGTTATGATTATCACAAAACTGAGGAATGCAAGGGGGTGATAACAGGGGAGGTTTATGTGACCACTCTCATATCAGGGTGGTGTAGAAGTTGATTTAAGCATCAGGGCAATATCACTGGTAACTCTCTCTGTGCAGAGAAATATAGCAAGGTGAAGGTAAAGACAGGAAAACAAGGGAAATAAAAAGCTGCTTGGTTCCAGAGAACAAGGAGGGTGGGGAAAGTGAACCTGCACCATCTCGCAGCCTCAGATCTTTTTCTATTACAATAATCCCCTAAAGCAAGACTGTCTATGAGAAATGACAACTAAATCAGAAAAAAGAGAGACTCAAATGTGTCACAACGACCCATGGGTCTCAGTGTCAGCACACTGTAGGCACAAATAGTGGAGAAGAGGGAGATGGATTTGAAGCTGCTCTCACGTGAACCCTGACCGCCTCCAGGATTAGTTCTCCTTATGTAACAGTAAAAACAGCCTGGTCAGAGAAACCTTTAAGATTCAGACCGTGCTGGCCGGGCCCTAGCCCACTCTACTGGTAACTGCCACTCCAGTGTCACAGCTTAATATGGAAGTGGGTGTTTGGAAAATTGCCTCTCTGCACTTTAAAAGCTTGCTTAGGTGCTCTTCCACGGCAGAAACAAACTGCACGCTGACCTAAACGGTGGTTTGGTGGTATCCTCTCCTGTCCTGGTAGTCTCCATGAAAAGAAAAAAAAAAGCCAAGCACAAAGCCAAACCGTTCTCTGTAGTCTCTGCTGATACATGTCCACAGAACCAATTTTACACGCTTGACACACTTCCTTTGTAGCTGCTCCTCTTCAGCTGCCTTCAAGCTGTGAGCAATAGAAATGTTTAAATCCCACCTTTTAAGCAAGGATTTGACTCCAGCCTGAGGATGCCTGACTGTTTAGATATTAATGCCAAGGACAGCCTTCTCTCCCCCTCCTTCAGCCCTTGACCTCAGGTAATTCACCTCTCAAAAGACATATTCCTCTTAGTATTGAACAAGAAGAATGAAGCGATGACAATAAGCGCCCATATGAAACTGATCACACAGCAGTATCTGGTCAGTGGTTTAGCTGTTAGTCCTAGTTCTTGGATGAATGGTGGTTTGGATCTGATTACCATGAGCAGTCCATGATAAGTGTGTGTTGCTTAATGCTGACAGACAACCAAAAATAATATAGGCTCTCTACTGCCAGCTGCTTGGTTAAAGGTATAAATGTACACTGACAGCCCATTTTTACAGAAGGAATTCTATGAACCATAGCATGTGGTCACTGCCGCTGGTACGTTCAGGGGCTGCTGCTGTCCTGTCAATCCTGACTGTGTAACATGTCATCACATCACAGCAAAGACGACTCCAACATACACAGTATGTAAGCAGTACTTAAACATGGAAGAAGAATGGGGAATGCCCGGGGAAGGTCGTTCAAAGTGTGCAAAACAAAAAGGTGGACCACACGTTTCTCTGAGTCTGGCAGAAATGGTGCTAAAACATGTGGCCAGCAAGGGCAGGGGTGTAACTGAAGGTGAAAGAAGACTATATATATATTTTAAAAAATACAAATTATTACAATGCATGCAGCGGAACAAATAGAAAGAGTATCCACCATCTGAGATGATGAACATCGCTTCAATTAAAACACAAAAAAGACCCCAGTTCCAAAGATGCAGCAGGTTCCTAAACGTTCATAGGTCACACGTTGCTGCAGTGGAAAATAGCTCTCAGTGGGCCAAAGTTAAACAACAGAGGCCATCAGACAGTGTCTCATGACAGACACTACATGTCAGCGTCCAAGCAAAGAATGATAGGCACGGAATGCCTCAAAGCCTTGCTAAAAAAAAAATGGACTAGGGGAGGCTGCAGCGTCCTGTGAGTTGGGACACAGTCAGTGCTCCAGCAGATGCCACACATGACACCCTCTCACATTTCATGATCATATGGGTGGCCTCATTGACTGCATTGATTCTGAAGGATTAGCCAGGATAGGGCCATTACACTGAACGCAGGCTGGCTCCTTCCAGTCTGCTGCTGCACTGGATAATCCTGACTTCTTCATCAGTAATATCATTAGTGCATCATCTCTGCATGTTATTTCTGGGTTATTACCTGCAGGAGAGCAAGTACTATGGCTAACACCAGCCATCTTTCACAGTCCCTGCTGGGAGATACAGCCTTGTTGACAAATAGAGCCTTGCCCTGGCTGGGGAAAAGCAGAACGTGCCTTCAGCAGTGTTGACGCACTCACATTTAAAGCTCATTGAAATGCATTTGTGGTGGAATCACGAGTGACATTTGAGGGAATATTCCAAACGTGACACTGCTGAAAACAAACCTAACACATCACATTTGTTAAAGACGGTCTTTGAGACATTGGAAAGCAAAGTGAGATCATAGTCTTTGTTAGTAATTAGTCAATTGCTGCCTTGCCTCCAAATTATTCAACTGTTCAAAAATGAAAGATCAGTGGCTTTCCTGGAGAAAGAGAGGAATGACGAGCTGGTGCTTTATGTTAATTGAGGGGTGCCTAATGCAGTCATTAGCATGCATAGCGGCAGATGTGGCGAACGTTAATTCTTTTTCACTACTTCCTCTTGGGCTGGCTCGGATGGCACCTCGGCATTTTTCACTTGATCAGCCACTCAGCCAGACATCGAGGAGCAGCACATTTAGTTCAAGCACAACAACTATAGATACCACCTCGGCTAATTCGACGAGCACCTGACAAATGCATCCTGAGGCAAAACAGGCATACATTCAACCCACCGAACCTGGAAGTGGTTGCTGGGTGGAAAGCTAAGGGTGTACATGTGATGACCAAAAGAAGCTCACCAAAGGAGGAAGTAATACAAGATACCCACTGCCATTAGAAAACTTTTTGTCCTAGTTCTATCACATCAGACATATGTACTATATGTAAACTTACAAGATCATACAGGTGACAGAGCCGACAGTCAAGCCTGTCCCTGTGCAACAACAGCCCTGTCAACATCTCTCTGAACAGAAGAGGCAAACACTAGGAAGGAGATTTGAACTTTGGAAAAAGATCTTATCCAACACGGGGTAATCAAACTTCTAAGAGTGTAGAGCTTCTTAAGATGGCACAGCATAAAACACACACACACACACACACCACTCAAACAGAAAGCATGAAGAGATGAAACTACAAAACTCAAGACATTAAAGGGAGATGAGACCACATTGTAATGTTTGATCTGACACTGGAGGGAAACCCTCTGTGTGAGCCTGGCTCTAAATTGCCCCTAGCAGTGAGTGTGGTTGTTTGTCTCCATGTCAGCCCTGTGATAGACTGGCGACCTGTCCAGGGTGGGCCGCGCCTCTTGCCCAATATCAACTGGGATTGGCTCCAGCCCCTTGTGACCCTGCTCAGGAATAAGCAGTAAAGATAATGGATGTATGGATGACAGGCTTAGTCCCCATTTTAATGGTAAAATACATTTCAAAATGTTTAGTAAATCCACATTTATTCATGTCGCGGGGGAATTCTATAGTTCCAAAATACGGGTTGAATTGAGCTTTTTTAAAATATGGCAATGTGTTTAACTCAGACGGTACATAAATATTTTTGCTGCTCATATGTCAGGCTGATCTGCCTCAATTAGAGGGGTTGCAGCAATGAGTCATTCATCCCCTCTCAGATGCTGGGGGTGAACGTTTGCTCATTCACTGGCAGTGATGATATTCTGATATTCTGTCAGATCCCTGGCCAACAATGTGGCAGCGCAGGTGGTGCTGCTACTCTGCTGCTGATGAGCCCTTCTGAACAGAATTTGTCACACAAAAACAGCGGAATTGTCTCGTGTCTGTATCAATAAGAGGATCATCCGCTCCTCCGAGATTAAGTGACTGAAGATCATACCACGAACAGCAAGAAAAGCCCTGTTTTCAGTCTGCTCATATAACCTTTCCCATGGTTTCAGACACCAGAGGTCTCAGGCCTCGTCTCTAAGCAGTAGCGGGGGCCTGTGCAAATGTAGTGGGAAGATAAAAAAGACTGAGAATGCAGTAGTTTCCTCAGGCTCAGAGGGCGTGAGTAATACCCCAGTTATAATTTAGAGCAGAGAATTGCATGCTGACAAAAGCAGCATATGTTGTGTGAGTCAGTTCTGCGCTAAAGCTGAGAAAGGGAAAAAGTTTCAGTCCCTACCTTGCAGCTCTCTTCTTTTACACACCCTATTCCCCATCTGTCCTTTCTATACCAACCCTCGCTTATCCTCTCCCTCAAACTCCCTGCTTCAGCCTCCCCCTCGGAATGTTTTTATAGCAACAAGGCAGTTATACCTTCCTTCCGACTGCACCATTTGCTTTACTGGGTGGGGGTGGCTCAAAGATCCTCTGCTGCTGCTGTGGAGGCAGCGTGGAGTACAGCGGGATGATTTTCATATCGCCAACCTCAGGCCCCAGGTCGTCAACCTCCCTCTTGATTCGTTTGCATGCCTCGTCAATTTCCTGAAAGATAGAAGTATGACAGTTAATCCAGGCATCACTTGTGTATGCAAACAACAGAATCAAACAGGTTCTGAACAACACCTGGATAAACAATGGCAGTCAATCTGGATGACAGAGGAAGGCGAGGGGAGGCGGCCAGGGAAACCGTGGTTCCCTGCTACAGTACATTTGTTCTAACTATCGCTCCATCTGATGGAGGAAATTAAACCTGGACTGCAGTATGCTTTGCTGAGCTCCCTGTGGCTCTGTTGTCAAATGCAGCGATCATGGAAACATGGACACTTTGTAGGCACACACACACACACACACACACACACAGAGCCAGATAGACTCAAACAGGGTTCATTATTCCACAGTGCAGTATTGTAGAGGGGAATGTGAGATGAGACTGCAGCACTGATGCATAACCAGCGGCAAATCATGGCAGATCAGTTTAGTGAAGCTGAACGTTCCAGAGCCGGTGGGCTGGCAGACAGACAGAGGACCTGAGCAGCGCCAGGAGTATGAAGACACAGCAGTGAGCATGGGGATTGGGCCTATTCTCAAAAGGCCTGTTGGAATACAGCAATAAATGTACCGAATACGGCCACGTATCTGACAGGCCACCCCCTCTCACTGACGTATGAAAACTTCTTTTATTTCACCTACTGCTATACGCACACACAGACACATTTTAATGATCATGCTTGAAGTGGTATGGCCCAAAACAACAAAACCGTTTTTCATTCCTAAACAACTCCCACTGTTAAGAACCATTTTCTTTGTTTTCCTAACAACAATCACTTAATCCTCAGGAAGCAGCAGTTACTATACCTGTCACATTACAGCCTATGCTGTTGCTCCACCTGCAGGGCCATGGGAGCAGTGCAGCAGCTCAATGTCACAACAGCCCCGCTGACTGCCAACAGGATTTTACTCATGGTGACGGGCAGATTAAGACCACTGGAGCTTTGTTACTCGGCACGACAACAAAAACAACCTGTAACTTCTCAGTTGCTTTTGTTTCTTTTTCTAAAAGCAGAGTGTGCTTAAATTAGTTTAAGCATGAGCAAAACTGTGTGAAGCGGTAACACTTGCCTTGACATAAGAAGGCACCGTGGAGATGTTTCCTGTTTTCCTGCTGGTCTGTGTGTTATTAGCCCTGTGTGTCCCCTCATTCGCTGCATTAAGTCAGCCCCTGCTGATGGCCATGTGCCTCTTAATCAACACACTGACAAGTGGAAAACAGTAAATCTGAATGGATTGGTAAAATTAGCCTGGGTATTAATAGCCTATCAAGCCTCTGGATGCAGCAGCTGCCATGGAGAAAAAAAATGGACCTCTTTGCCAAAGTGCTGGAAGCAAGCTGGCTGGCTGTCCCTTAGGGATGTGAAGACAGAGTGTGTGCGTGTGTCTACTCACACGCAGGGGCAGTTGGCCAGTGTTGGGAACCAGTCCACCAGCTCCGCCTGCGACCCCACAAGCAACAATCTACAGCCAAGCTAATAACCGGCACATTTAGGCACTCGTCTTGACTAGCAAACAACCCCCCTGCCAACCCCCATGTTTTGATGTTAGCAGCTGAGGGGGAAGCTTAAATATTAGGACTTATCTTTGCTCAACAGCTGTGATAAGTTCCGACTTTATTGTTTGGAGTCGGTGCTTCATTTCTATTTGTTTGTGGATGTGAAATATGTCAGAGAAAAACTGTGGAAGAAACAGAAACAAAGTCCTGTGATCTGGCTTTCGCTCGTTATAAATTAAAGTCAGATAAAAAGAGTCTATGGCTTTGCAATAGATCTGCCTCCTGATCATTAGTCTACATCAAAGTTGCTGGGAGACTGAAGAGGTTAAGAAGCGCTCGAGGGGTGTGCTACAGCCCCCTCTGAACACCCATCTCTGCCAGAGCTACCAGACATTAACTTCTTTAACCCAATTAGGAGGGGGTGATAATGAACTCACTGTGGGAGTGCTCTCAGTAATGCCTTTGCCTGACACAGCGCAAGGAGGGTGGAATGTAAATCAACAAATTACATCTAAGTGCAAAAAATCTTTAACACATTGCCTGTAAACATCCCAGACTTTTCTAAACATTCACTTGAGTGACGATCAGTGCACGTGGTGTCCGCTGTGATACTGCTAAATCTGAAATCAATTAGCAGCCTTCAAAAGGACAACATTTCAAACGCCGTGTCCTCCGATGACTTCATCACCTTCATAACAAACTGCATATTGATCCTGCTTTGGCAAATAAAAAGTGACATAGGTGAACTGCAACAGCCAAGCTCCTGTTGAGCGATGAGTAATTACTGCTCATAAACACGTCGTCGCAATGTTGTGTGTTAGTGGGAGAGCCAGGAAGACACGACATGATTTCTTGTCTGGATGACAAATTGGTATCAAGTAACAAAAGTGTAAATTTGTCATTCAGATCTCCACAGCGATGTGCGTTGCATTCACACGAGTTCCAGTTTTCAAACGCACCATTTTGTCAGAGGAGTGGGAGAACACTCGTACGTGCACAGGCACCATCGGCAGCGACGGGCTTCTCCTCTCCAGTGATCAGCACACTGAAACATTTGTTGGTGCTGTTTCTATGCACGCGCCCCTGAGTATGCGTGTGCCCACCCAGCTGTGACCAAATTCATCATTTTTGGCATGAACCCTGCCCTCCATTACACATCAGTGGACAACATTTGCAGGGAGGGAAAAAAATAATAAATGACTTAATTTCAGAGATTCGTGGGAAGGGCAGAATCTGGGTCACTCCTCGTTTTTTCCCCCGCTTTCATCATGCAGATCCTGGTGGTTTCCCAGACAGGCACGGACCGATGCATTAGCAACTATCAATCTGAAGATGAATCATTTTCTGTGCACCTGTGTGTCCTCATGACACCGTGTATGCGAGTAACTCATCTCTGTAATTAGATTAATATGCACACTCTTCAATTTGGAGATGTATAAAATCTTTGCAAGGGTTTAAATTATTGTATAATATTGTTATTTATGACCCAAAGAGATGTAAATAACAATATGAAACAATCAGCTAAGATCAAGCACAGTTATCTGACATTTGCTGGTTCTAGCTTCTCAGATGTGAGGGTTTGCTGCTTTTCTCCGTTTCAGAGCACTGTCACTGAAACTGGTAGAACATGATAATGGGCCATTTTTCACATTTTCTGACATTTTAAAGTTCAGTCAATTTTAATAAAAAGAAAAATAACCATTACCTGCAGCCATACTGTACATGTAAATGTGAAACCAGCAATGTTTACAACCATCACAAACCCAGATCCCCCTCCCAACTTAAACATTTGTTAAACAACACAAACCCTCTGATTATTCACACCATAAGGAGTTGTACCTCTTGGCCAGTGAGGAAGAGCAGAATGTCCCCTTCATCCTCCTCACACATGTGGATCTGGATCACGGTCCGGATGGCCGCCTCCAGGTAGTCCCGCTCCGGTTCGGGTGTGTAGAATATCTCCACGGGGTGCGTGCGCCCGGGTATGGTTAGGAGTGGGCAGCTGTCAAAGTAGACCTGGAACTTACCAGCATCGAGCGTGGCGCTCATGATGATGACCTGGGCAGAGAAGGGCACAGGAGAGAGCCAGGTGTGAGTCCAAGTCTGTGAGGGACAACATGTTCATAAAGGAGGTGAAAGAAAAGATAAAATTAAAGACAGCAGAGGGTAAATGACTGAGGTAATTATCAGAGAGCACTCAAGTGAAGAATACATTATATATGGCTTTATGATGATTGGGGATAAGGACATATGCTAAGTGGACAAGGTTGCAACCAAATAGAAGCTAGATGAAGAGTGCAAAAAGCTATAGAGGATGGATAATGCTCTGAATTAGTATTTAGGGTGAGGGCGCTGGCACACACCCAAGATGGTGTCTATAGTGTAGAACTTGGCATTACACTCCGAGTCACTGACCTACACAGAGCTATGACAGCCCTTGTTCCTGATGCTGGGTACACAATGTTCTCTCCAGAGCCATTAGATAGAGCGCATTAGGATTCTGATGGGAAACACGTTTCCCATTTTCAATCTCAAACATTTTCAGGGGCCAGTGTCTCTGCATTTTGCTTTACGCTCTGCGAGACATCATAATTGCTCTTAATCAAGGCAAATTAAACTTTCAAATTTGGTAGGGGATAAGGATGAGGGAGATAGAGGAGTGTGGGTGGATGATCATTCCCAATAACCTAGACCTCATTTAACAGTCCGTGAACAACAACCTAACCTTTGATTCCACACTGACAAACAACTAGTCATTATCCATCTGCTTTATGAGAACTATGTCTGGCACACATTGCCGATAAAACTTCAGCCTGCTTGCAGACCCCCGTCCTCACCGACACACCGCCGCCTTCCCCCTGGCTGAGTGGTTTAAAAGAGGTCCGTCTCAGAACCATCTCCACGAGTGCTGCGGTGCAGAACAGATGTGTGTTTCTTAGCCTAGCAGCAACATTTCTTTGGCATCACAGATACACAGCTGTCAGATACAGGGACACTGTCAGGACAAATGTGACAAAAGGGAGGAATGACAGAAGAGGGACACAAACATGTGCTCCCACTGAATTTATCCTGGAAGGATAAGAATAATCACCTTTATGTTACACACAAGGAATTTGTTTCCGGTACAGAACTGAGGCAGCCATCTGCGGCGCCAACTCAACCGATGGCTCTAACCATCGGGGGGCAACAGGGTGGGTTCAGTGTCTTGCCCAAGGACACTTTGACTGCAGGCACCGAGATTCGAACCTTCAATCGTCTGGTTGGGAAACGACTGCTCTACCCACTGAACAACTGTCGCTTTAACATTTCGGGCTTTAATAGCATAGGCGTTAAGTGGGCCAGACACTGACAAGAAATATTCTGTCATCGCTGCAATTATTTATATTCACATATAGATTTCTTTTAAAATATGGTCAGATCTCGGTCAGAGGTGTAGGCTGGAAAACGTAAGTGAACCCAGAGGCTAACAGCATCAACAAAAGCTAACTGCAGTCAGGGGTTTGAACAATGAAAGCAAACTGGAGGTGTGTTTCAGCTATGCTGTTCACCATAAGCATCTGCTGATGTGAAACATGCCTGGTAAAAAAAAAAACTGCCTCAGAAGATGTGCGACCGAAAATCGTTGATTCGCATGACGCGGGAAAGGGTTAAAAAAGTAATCACAAAGAATATATGTATTCATCAAACTGTCTATAAATGGAAATGATTTAGTTCTGTGGCTACTATTCCTAGACACAGTTGAGAACCCCAGAATAACAACTAAAGGCTTAGTGTTATTTGGCAGGACACCACACCTGAAAAACCTTGGTTTATACAAATATACTGAATAAACCAAGCCTACATTTTTACCTTAAGGTCAGGCCTCTGGCGGACCACCTCTTTGAGGACCCCCATGAGGATGTCTGTGGCTAATGTGCGTTCGTGGGCCTCGTCCAGGATGACAACACCATAGCGCTCCATTAGGGGATCGTTCATGGCCTCCCGCAGCAGCATACCATCTGTCATGTACCTGGGTGAATAAAAGATGGAACGAGGTGGGAGCGGAGACAAGTACACATCAAGACTTCCTCATCACGTACCACTGCTTTATCTGAATAAAATCCTGGATGGAGCTAAAAAAAATTCAAGCCTGTTCAACAGTGTGTCAGGAATCAGACAATTTATTAATCATCAACATCTATGAACTGAAACAACTTCACAGTTTGCTGCACTTGAGCAGCCCGTTAGTTGACTGAATTAATTTTAGATTCTAACTTTTCAAGGCTCAAAGGCTTCTTGCTATTAACAAATTCTCTCCATACAGCTGGAAGCTTTTAACATAAAGTACGCTGGGATGATTTTTGATTTTTAAACAGTCTTCTTACTTGAGCACCGTCTTGGCAGAGCTGCAGTCCTCAAACCTGATGGAGTAGCCCACCTCCTGGCCCAGCACGACATCCATCTCGTCCGCCACCCTCTGGGCCACGCTCATGGCTGCCACCCTCCTGGGCTGGGTGCAGGCCACCGCTCTCTTTGGTCCCGGCACTGAGCGCACCATATCCACGCACCACTGAGGGATCTGGAAGACAGCAGAAAAGTCGGGCAGCGTTTGAACCAAAGAGACTAGGTACAGGCAGTCCCTGAGCAGACAACTTGTGAAGATGAGACTGATAAGCAGGTGATACTTGAAAGTGCATTCCTATATTTTGCTAAGTCTGCAAAGCAAATAACTATGAAAGTCATACTTGTCAAAATTTCACTGAACATATGTTCTTAAGCTTAAAAATGTGCTAAGAGAGGCCTGAACATGGAGAGTCTCACTTCCACTCTGTAAAGCTTGAGGTCTGGATGACTTGCCCTTTAGAGATCATTTAAATCAAACCAGTCTTTGAAATGTCACCCAATCAGAAGAAAAAGAATTCAATGACAGGGTTGGAAGACATAAATATTTCACATACAGCACCAAACTGTTATTAGCACTTAAATGACCTGACCCTAATCATCAGAATGTTTGGTGGAATGCTCAGTAGGGCTGCACGATTAACTTATTGTGATTTCAGCTGATCCCTTGTACACAAACTCATTTGTACATGCCAATGGATTAAGCAGCATTTGCATTATGATAAGGTGAATACAGTATTTTCCCTGAAAACTGTGAGAATGACAAAGAATAAATTGAGATTCTTACTTTACGGCCTTCACCTCTGTTCTTTTCTTGTTTGGATAAATACAATACCAGACAACATTCTCTCCTACTTTTCAAGAAAATACTATTAATCATTAAACTTAAATGTTAAATTTCATAATAAATGTGTAATATACACATTTTCTAGTGTCATCCAGGCAGAAAGCACTGACAAGATTATAACACTTCACTGAAGAAATGTTTGGAAGATGAAGTGTATTTTCCCTCAGGAAGAGGCCAAGGCTCAACCAGTGATTTACTCTAATCTTGTCTCATGAAAATTTTAATAAACAGACACCGCAGCTCTTTCAAGAACTTATAAATATAAACCTCACAACCACATACTGTGAATCAACTCCAGAGAGAAACTGATTAAAATGCATCATGTGTTCATTGCACCCTATTTTTAATGGTATTATACCAATTTTATCTCTGAATTTCACATTTTGATTTCATTTGACACATTTTAGACAAATCACAGCAATCATTTATTTGTAGCAGTGAATGACAACACTAGTGCAGTCTAAGACACCATTCTGCCTTTCTACCTGTGTGGTCTTTCCAGAGCCCGTCTCTCCCACCAGCACAAAACACTGGTTCTGCATCAGGATGTCAGTGAAGCGCTCCCTGTACTCCCAGACAGGCAGCTGCAGCCGCTTCCTGAGGATCTCATAGTAGCGTGGCGTGTGGGGCAGGTTGGTGAAAGGGTTGATTTGCTGCTGCACCACGGTTAGCTTAGGAAAGACTCCACTGCCTGCGGCTGGGTTGTTGGGCACCCCAGATGACTTCACATCCCTGTCTCTGTCACGGTCACGGTCCGCGGCCTTCGACCGCTCATCACGGTCTCTGTCTCTGTCACGGTCACATCTGTGAGAAGATGTTAAGCTGTGATGACGTGCTGCCACACAAACTAACCAGTTTAACTTCTCACAGACACAGGACAACACAGATGCATGCATGCACACCAGCAAACATCAGAAATGGCCAAATCTAACAGCCCTGGCCTAGAAATGATTCAGTGAAAACACAAAGGAGATTGAACCTAACTCAAAAAGACACAACAGAGAAGAGAAGTACATGAATGTAAGCCAATGTCAAGTTCTTGTCTTAAAAATCACATGAAAATGTTACTGCACATTCTTGGACACAAAACATATCCTACTTCACACAAGTACACAAATAAGACCCATGCCATTATGTTCTTGAGTGTCACCTGAAAATCCTAACACAACACAAGTGCAATCTGAGTGTTGCAGCTAGAGGCACTGGAGTGTTTAACAAGAGAAAAGAATCTGAGTGTTGCAGCTAGAGGCACTGTAGCGTGTAACAAGAGAAAACTGACCCCTCATTGAAATGTTCTGAGCTTCATCCGCTGATCAACCCCTTGTTGCCTGAGATTGATTACTTCCATTGTCATTTGGGACATGCACGGGCCCCTGAGATTGATTACTTCCATTGTCATTGGGGACATGCACGGGCCGGGTGTTGTCATTTGCAAGAAGTACTGTATGTTATGGGCCTTATTCACAATGGCAAAAAGCACAACCTAATCAAGTGCAGCATGCAAAGGTCATGGATAAACTCATCATCAACAAGCCACATAAAGCTAGTTTGTTCCTCATGTTGCACGAAGTTCAGTGTAAACCACATATATCTCCACATGAGCTAGAAAAATCTGTGCACAGTGTTGACTTTAAGATAGAACCAAGAGCTGGACACTTACAGCCAACTACTGCAATGAAGCTGGTTGCACACTGATTTCAAGTTCCCCCAGTATGTGCTGATGAGTACATCACAATTTCCAGTATTCTTCATGAATAAATGTTGTGCACGTATGGGTCAAGTACTGAACAGTGTCAGCAGCAGCACATAGGCTACAGCTACAGTAGCCCTGAGGGGGAAACGTGTCAGTCTCTCTCATACTACACTGCTATGGTTAAACTTTGTCACACTTCTCATTCAGGCATACTGATCCACTCATTTTGGTGCAGCACCACTGTTACCCAAGATGTCTTGGAACCAATGGCAGATAAAAAATAGCAATGTAATATTAATCTGTCTGTGCAAATTAACTACTAATTCCAGGAATACTCCACTTTGAAAACCCCCTTCATTGAGCTGTATGTAACCTAACTCCATTATTCAGCTTTGTCCACGTGTGTCTATGGCAGAAATGAGATGACAACAAATGTGCCAAGCATGCTTCCAGCTGGAGTGGATCATGTAGTTTGAAACACATTAACAGCAAACAGCCTGATGGCATGTTAGCATCTCCGCCTTACATGTCCTTGACTGTGGGGAGGCTGCAGACAGCACTCCATATGACATTATCATTTATCTGGACAATACGGTGAAATTATCATCAACATAATGCAATATTTCCTTGTCTCTGAGGGGAAATGCTTTTTAAATGTTTCCCCCTCCCATCGGGTCGAAGCGACGTCAAACCCTGAGCAGTGACCCTGGAGCTTGTACTCTCGGTGTCACAACAGACAAGCTGCGTCCTCCAACTCGTCCAGGCCTGTCGGGTCTTGTCTAGACGCAGGTGAACGTACGATACTGCGTTTGCCTTTATACCAAAACTCAACTTGCACTAGTAAGAGGTTGTAAAGCTAAATGGACAGGACAGTGACATCTGACAGGGCTCGCTTTTAATGCAAAGTGGATAAAGTTAGCATTAGCCCTGCTAGGGGTCCTGGGTGCTACTTCAAAAAAAGCTCATCTTCTTTATTTCGCCAACGCCACATGCCAGAAGACCCAATAGTTTATTACAGCATGCCTAATTTGCATATAAAATGTCTGACTCTTCTATCTTGCACACAGCGATGATCCTAGCACCGACTACCATGTCGCTAAGATAGCCAAGTGAAGACAAGACCAGGCCGGTAGCTGGATAAGTGCTAGGTGGCCATTGCACAACCCTGCGGCTCAGCAATAACCCCACACCGTGTGGTTATCATGTCATTAGAGCAACGATGCATCTCTATCCCCACCGGGGCTATAGTTAGCTAGCTAAACAGCAGAGTTAACATTAGCACGGCTAGCTAGCAGCAGGACAACAACAAAAAGCCTGCAGTACGCTACAAAAACACAGCAGCTAAACACGTGTATGCAGTTAAGGCTAACGTTACATACCCATCACACGATCTCTTTTTACTCAAATAATCATCACCTAAATCTAAACGATGTCGCCTGGACATCTTGCAACCCGTCCAAACAGCGACTTTAGCGGCTAATTATTCCATGCAGATTTTCCCATAACCGTTAGACACCGGCAAAATGGCGACCGGAAGCTCTTACCTCATCATTGTTGTCCTTGACAAGAATAACTCGAAAGCCACGATTTACTCCGAAAGCCGATGAGCACGTTGCATGGAAAAGGTCCCGGGCCTTACTGAGTCCTGCACATAGTGCTGCCTATCGCACTGCCCGCTGTTATTATGCAGTGGCTCAGGGATGCGGGGGAGGATGCAGCAGATCTGTTGTCTCTCGGTCGAGTCGGGATGATGATGCTGCTGCTGCTGCTGATGATGATGATGATGTGCCTGCCACACAGCACAGGCACCGCTGCTGTCTCGCCCCCTTCAGTCCAGAGCGTCTCTCCTTTGCAGAGCATACAGATGTGTGCTATTTGTGTCAAGCATCCTGAAACATTTTGTTGTTATATGACTCTTTGCAGGAAAGGAGAGTTCTGGATCAGAAAAGTGACCTTAAATGACCCCCTTGGAGCCTCCTCACACACCCTTGGTGACACTGGGGGACCCTACTCTGGGGAAATGCACAAACTACTAGCACATTTTATTAGAAAATGAACATACAACCAAAGCTTTTGCTCTTCTAAGCAGTGATTAACAGATCTTAATGTGCTGAGTGAACACTGCAATCCTACATGCAAAAATAGCCTTTAAATTGAATATTTTAAATCAGATAAAAACAAGTCATTTTAGTACGTTAGTGTGATAGAAAATTTTGTTTTGCTCATGTATGCCTTAAACCTGTGCTGAACAGAATACCTGAACTGTCTGCTCAGCCAAACGATGGCACAAACTGCCCTTGAAAAAGTATGCACTCCCTGATTCTGAGTACCATCTCAGGTCAAAGACTTCTTTCAATGTGGGTGTATGTGTGTGTATAATCAGAAGAGGTACTTTTGATCTAATCTTCCCTAAAACTCGTGAGACCCATGTATATATAGTACTGAGTTCTTTTTTTTTTTTTTTTTCTGAGCCTCTGTAGCAGACCACTCTGAATGCTGTTGTGGATTGCTCCTTTCTGCAGAAATAAATAACACAACAGACATATCTGTCCTAAATCTCTTTATTTCACTAAAAAGGCTGTTCATTTTAGCACATAAGGGAAGATTTACAGGACTCAACTTGCTCTGTGCACTCAGAAAAAGTGATGAGTATGAAAACCTTTACTTATAGGATCTAAAAAAAACCCGTTCATCCACTATAATTATAAAACAATGAATAATCTATCACACAAGACAATCATAGCCATTGACACAAGTAATTACACTGCCTGGACATTGCTAACAAGCTGAGTAATAGCAAATGTCTTATTGCTAATACCCAGGGGATTGATGATGAGGGTTATCAAATCAAATCAAATTTTATTTGTATAGCGCCAAATCACAACAAAAGTCATCTCAGGACACTTTACAAAGTAAGGTCTAGACCTTACTGTTATCAATATTATTACATAGGGAAAACCCAACAAATCCCCCTTGAGCAAGCACTTGGCGACAGTGGGGAGGAAAAACTCCCTTTAACGAAAGAAACCTCTGACAGACCCCGGCTCTTGGTGGGCGGCCTTCTGCCTCGACCGGTTGGGGTGAGTGGATAGAGGAGAGACAAAAGAAGAAAAGCAACAAGACACAACAATCAAACACTGATCAGGTCGATGTGGCCGGTGACTGCT